GTTGTCGAAAAAATGCCTCAAACTTGCCCAAAATATCTGAAAATTCAGTGACCGTCTGTGAAAGAAATTTCAAACTTCAGTGACCGGTGCTGAAACTTTGAAACTTCAGTGACCGTTTTGAAATTTTTAGGTAACTTCAGTGACCATTTGTGAAATTAACCCCTTAATTATAAGTAGCACTTAGTTGGGTGAGCAGAGCGGATCACATCAAGTATTTAAATGGCCAATTATTCAATGATTATCTGATATAGCGTTGAAAACGTCGTCAAACTTGGAACACTTACTCTTAGTACGGCTAAACTACACAAAATTAACTTTCACGCTCAGTCCACGTGACTTTTTTTTCATTGATACACATTTTATAGTAATACCCTTTCTTTTGGTCGGGATAATTATATATGTTTTCCATAGAGAGCACCCGAATTGCACCTTATACATAACCCTTCTCTCACATTTAACTGAAAATAATGTTTCTTTCCTATAGTAGATTTCTGCCATAGACAATACAGAAAAAAATCCTCCTAAAAGATTTCTATATACCTAACGGAAGATAAGGGAGAATGAAAACATAAAACTAAACAAAACCGAAACCACTTATCGATGGAGATCGCTTTGCCACTTCACGGTGCTACTAAAAAAAAGTGTGAGAGAAAGAGTGGGGAGTCAAAAGCTTTGAGAGGAATAATGAATTGAAAGATATTTTTACGGTATAAGATATGTGTTGAAGATATTTCATCCATTTAATTATTATATTATATTATATACTCAATTTTAACACTACAGACACAAAAAATGAAAAAAAAACTATTACCGAACCAATTGAAAAGAGGTCAAGTGTGAAAACTCACGTGACAAAAATAAATAGTAAATCCAGGATTACCTGAATGAGGGATTATAAGTAATACTTAGTTGGGTGAGCGGAACGGGTCAAATCAAGTATTTAAATGGCCAATGATTCAATGATTATCTGATACAGGGTTGAAAACACCGTCAAACTTGCAACACTTACTCTT